GGAGCATCCCGTACATGAAAGGCGTTTCCGAAGTTGTGGCTAGATCTCTCGCTCCTCATGGAATAGGGGTTGCCCACAAGCCTACATTCACCATCCGACAACAAGTAATGCGGCCGAAAGACCCCATACCTAAACAGGAGAAGTCAGGCGAGATACCGACTGCGGTGCAGCTGTGGGACGTGCAATTATGTTTGAGAAACCGGCCGACAACTTCAAACGCGAATGCAGGAGCATAAGCGGGCCGTGAGGATGTTGGACCCAAAGTCGGAGGTAGCCACCCATGCGGCAGCAATGGGACACGACTTCAACTTTGACGCGGTGGAAATTGTGGGCCGAGGTGATGATCACACGTCAAGGCAGAGTAAAGAGGCCTGGATGTCAACCGACTGTGCAGTCAAACGTCACATAAATTTACCGGCCCCTATGCTGTTGTAAGGACCTTCTTATCCGGGGATGGACGCGATATCGGACAACGCGGGCAGGGAACAAGTCCCAAGAAATACCCGAGTTCAAATCTCGGCGTGGCAGCAATTTCAGCGGCCACATGGTGTTGGGTATCACTAGCCGATGACGTCTAACGAGGCAGAACAGGCCTTCCTAGTGTCCCCTGTCTTTGCTGCTAATTCCCCTCTGCATATACATATGAAAATCGCCAATGTTGAATGATGAATGACGCACTCTCGATTCCCGTTTATATGCGCAACGTGGCTAGTAGTATGAATAGAGGAACACGACCAAGAAAGACTAGGGAGACGCTAGTGGCTGCTTCTGGCTTATTAGCCGGCATCAGCCAGTGATTTTAGAGAAAAAAATCATACATTTATTACGGACCTTAATTATGAAAATGACATCAGCACAGTAAAGTGGTGGTAGGCTGGAGTCTAACAAGAATAACACCGTCAACCATTTCAAACTAGCAGTATTGTATACGAAAACAAGCAGTCTGTTCTGAGATCACGATGAATTGTAAATAATGGCATGTCTGGATTATATGCATAATAATGAGTTTGCATTGTAAAGGCACGAAAAAGAGGCGAAAAAACCGCAATGGCTGAGGAACTGTACAGGCCGTAAAATTCTATCATAAGATACACCACGCAAACCAAAACTCCCAGAAATATGTTTTACGGGGTGGGTCGTAAAAGGGATTATATAAGTGGGACAGGAAAGAAATTAGCAGAACTGTATCAAGTGAAAAGGAAAAAGTAGATGCGTGATTTCAAAAACTATCAAACCTCAAAGAAAAGGCACGTGATAATGGAAAAAAACGGAAGTAAACTAAAATTGTGAGTACACTGAACTAAATTATATAGATTATTAAAATAACAAATTTCAAATAAAAACATATAACTACTGTCACTGGTCCCATATAACAAAATCCGGATGTTCTTGTTTCTATGGTAATGTCCACGATAGACCCTTACTGCACAGACTCGTTCAAAATAAACTTGACGATGGCTCAAAAGAATGTGACGTTTAGAAGAAGAAGAAGAAGAAGAAGAAGATGCGATCACTGGAACAAGGGTTTAATTTTCCTGACGTGTCGGGAATCCTTAATCATAGGTGATTTTAGGAAAGTCGGAGACATGACGTTTACTGTCGACATAGAGGTTCGTTACTTGATAGGGGATGGAAAACGTTTTCAGAGCACACGGACTGTACTTGACCTCCGACAAGTGAGCATGGATCGGGATCTGGACGCTCACATTCACGAGGACATGGGGAGAAAATGAGTCATGGTCACTTTAAATAGGATCTATTTACATTGTAATGACATAGAGAAACAAAACATACCCATGATATAAGCAGTCATTTGTAGAGAATAATGTTGTTTCAGGAGGCTGAAAAGGAGCTTATTCAAAATCCAGGGTTGCATAGCGTCTCTAAATGGTTAGTACTATGCCCCAGCATAATCCTTATAACAGCTCCAAACATATCAGGATGAGAGATATTTTACCGATTTTGTCGCGGACTTCGAGATAATACCCCTCGGCAAGGAAAAAGCTTAGGGCAGTAAATAAATTAATTCGGTGCCCGACAACCCTTCTTTCTCATTCAGGACAAAATGTGATTGTTTGAAAATCGCTGGGAAATACTAAGAATGTGTAGGTCTTAAAATCAGCTAATTTTGCGCGCGTTTTGGAACAAAACATTTAAAAAGGACTTGTTGATTTTTTGTAAACGTGGAAAATGTTCCCACACACAAATTGACCCCTACAGATTCACCTAGAAAACTTTATTATTACACTGATCAGCTGTTCATGCCGATGCCCATGAACCAAATGATATCGTAATTATTGTTGAGTCAACTTGCCCTGAGGTAAGGCAGATTTTAGAATACTGAAATGTTACTTTCCCGTTCTTTTCAAATAGCGGTGACTTCACCGTGTTTAAATAGTTTTCATATATTCCACCTCATCTCAATAAAGGAAACGGTTTTGACACAAAGATTTTTAAGTTAGAAACACTGCTGGTTTGTTTACGACCTAGATGCCAAATGGGAGGTTAGGCATCTTTTTCACTAATGAAGAGGTGTTATGATGACAAAACATTCAAACTGTTTGTTAAAGTCAAAGTTAACTAAGCTGTTTCTCCCAAATCTCTCACTTCGATCTTGCCGAACTTCTTTTGCACTGACGCAATTGCGACGAAGATGAGTGATCGCATCGCGGGGATGTGGTAAAAGAGAATGAGTGGCACCAGCGCGGTGAAGAGAGTCAGCAGGACTTCACTGAATTGTTGGGTTGGACTATTCATCACATAAGTCAGGTACCCCATCGCACTCAGCAGCTGGTAGGTGGAATCATAGGTGAAGGTTGCGATGTATGCAGCGCTCAGCGGTATGATGCAGAACGAGGCTGACCAGACATGATGTGCAGAGACTTCATCAGATCCCCCGGGAACAGTTGTGCCACGCTGCCTACCGTTGCTGGACTCGGAGGAGGTTGAGGATGAAGTACATATCGCGTCTGCTTGGCTGGAGGAGTATGAGGAGGATGGTCTTGGCTCTGGAAATGCGAGTTCTTCCAGGTCATCCACTAGGACGCCCCTCTCCGTTCCCCGTAGGCGTACCAGTAGAACAGTGCAGATGCAAAGGAAGATAGCTGGATAGATGAAACCGAGGATCGCCACCCACAGAAATGCGTGAGCATAAATAGCTGAGAGGAGGGCAAAGTTCGTGGTTGGCGTCGCACAGGCACAGTTTTTCACATGCGGACGCGCTTGAAGCATCTGAGGCGCAGCACTCAGGAAACTAGCAGTGAACACCAAGAACATGTAGAAATAGAGACGGTGTTTCTCTGTGGTGTGTGGATAATGCCTAAGCTTTAGAATCCCGAAGGCCCTGTTGTAGGCAAAGAAGAAGAGGCTATGGTAAACGTGGACCCTGCTATACCAGTAGAGAAAACGGCTTCTAAAGAAGATGCAAACCAGACCATCAAAGTACATGTTGCCAGTGTTTGAGCCTGGGGTAACGACGTCGTAAAAAAAGCACATGAATGTGGAAACTAGACAGCTGAGGGAAAGAACCCGCAAAAGAGCCAGATCTACGGACTTCTTTGCACAAAGCAGGAAGAGTAGAACGGTGACTAAGAGGTTAGCGAGGAATCCAAAAACGTTCAGCATAATTTCGCAAATATCCAGGCCATTGGGCCAGGAAACGATCACGCTGCAACTCCAGAATGCTTGTGTACCACCCGTCATTCTCAATCTAAAATGTGACTAGGCGGATGACGTAAATCTCTGGTTATATTTATTTCGGCACCAATAGGAGGCTGGGATAGCTGCCGGCGATTTTATAACCAATCAGGCAACGAAGCAGATATAATTTTTAGTAGGTACTGTTGGCAGATAGACTGGACGAAGCACTTTTAGTGAACGTCTTAGGAAACTGTTTTCATACGTTTGGATATAATTTTATTCATATTATTATAATTTTTTATTTTATTGATATATTTTTCTTATTATTTTATTTATGACTAGGCGACATTGTATAACTTGACCCCTATATAATTAATCTATCAAAATCGCTGTACTGTTGTTTACATTTTATACATAAAAATATACCAGGCTTAATGAAAACCTCTGCAATATAAGTGGTTGTTCGTAGCAATTAAATAATCAGTTCTTCCTTAGAGGTACAGCCAGTCAACTAATAAGGACCATTGTTTTTAAATCACCGGTTTCTTCGTGGCCATGTATCTGAAGCATTTGTTTTAAAACCATGGGTCATCAGGTAATGTACATCCTTTGATTTTACAGGAAGTGACAAATATAAATATATACATATATAATACATTTGAGGAAAAAATTGGAGCCTCGTTATGTTATGTTTATCATCTTCCAGATATGAAGAATCTGAAGAAGAAGAAGAAGAAGATAAGGCATGTGCTGGTACCGAGTCATACTTATACTGACGTTCCCGAGTCTTTTTCCCTTCCATCATCAGAATACTGCAGGTGCTGCGTCTGGTGGTCTTGATTTAGCCTGTCTTGCCGCCTGACTCGCATTATAGCCGTACTGGACGCGCGAAAGTTGACCGAACGTTGCTGCTTGCATTTGCCCTCCCGACGGTTGCCCGCTGGCGGGCCTGTATGAATTTTCAGTTTTAGGCAAGTCAATATACTCGGTGGCCTCCCTCACGTCGGTCCGTTCACTAATCGGTCGTTACTGTTCGCTTGATTTTTGCTCCATTTTGCGGGTGCATTAATGAGGCAGTGTTTAATTTTGGCCACGCGACATCTGACCGCCATCTCTATTTTCCATGAGCGTATTGACCCGGTTCTGCACATTCGTTTGCCCTGCTGGCACTGTCTTAATTTCTCCGAGCCTTGTACGAAGCACCTGGTAGACGGGGTTCAAGTCTATAGATCGGTTGCTTGCACCAGTTGAGGAGGTCCTCGAATTGTGTCCTTGGACCCTCTCTACCTTCAACGGCTAGGGGTCCGAGCTAACGAAGTGGACAACAATGGGCTCGCCTCTGTCTGGACTTATTGCCGAAGCAGTTCTACAGAGGCTTGAGCAGCTGGTCTCCAGCTCGGATTCCCCGACGTTCTAGGCCGGATATCTCGATGACACGTTCGTCATAGCCCAGAGGAGCCACGTGGAAGGAGTTAAGACATTGTTAAATCCAATCTTTCCCGACATCCAGTTGACTATAGAAGAAGCAGTCAACAATCGGTTGCCCTTCCTTGACGTCAAAGTTGCCAATTTGGCAGACGGGAAGATAAGGACAATGGTCTAAAATAAGGCAACCAAAACCAGACGCATTCTCCACTTCCGTGGCAAACAAATTTTTGGTCAAAAAGCAGTTGTGTCAGCACCCTCTTTTGACATGTTAAAATATACCGTGGCGACGACAGTGGGAAGCAGGAGGCGATAACTAACTTGCATGAACTTTTCAAAAACAACGGTTATCCGAAGTCTCTCATCCGCGAGTGTCTCAAGAAGTCGTCAGTGCAGTCAGCAACGAACGGGCCTCCAGCATGGCTATAATACGAGGCAGGTGGCATGACTGGCTAACTCAATACCACGTGACACAGCAACTACCGTATTCTGATGATGGAAACGAGAAAGGCTCCAAAACGCCAGTATGAATATAACTCGGTACAGGAAGACGCCTCCTTTTCTTCTTCCTCATCGGGAGATGATGAGCGTGACATGTTATACATACATATTTAAATATAATTTCTTGCTTATAGCACATATCCAGGTGGTAGATAATGGATATATATGCTGTCGTAAAACACTGCTTGAGGAAAAGTGTGCGGCTCGTTGTTGAGATTTGTAAGCCCGAGTAACACAATGCTTCATGTAATTAATGACGATTATATTTTATTTCTTTCTTACAAATCCGGACCCGACAACAATATGACGAATCGCACATTTTGCCGCAGAGCTTTGCTGATGCAAAGAACCACGTACTATTTATTGAACGGTCATTGCTCAAACTTATGCTGTATTATAACTATGTTATACTTTGAAATGAAGCACGCAGTATAGGGCTAGGCATTATTGCTTTAGTGCGGGAAATGTCCGTACCTAGGGTCTAGTTGGAGCAAATATTCCTTGCTCTATGAAAAATCCTGTATATTGCATTCGGTTAAAGTTGCATTACCGCAAAATATTAAAAGCTAACCTCTCATTTTTCCGGGTACCTTTGTAGAAAACAGAGCCCCTGTTGAACTATCATCCTCTCTAATCATGGTGAGATCTTAAAACGATAGTTTGTTAAATCACTACATTGACACTGTGAATTAAGGCTTCCGATGCAAATTATTTATAAAAATTACCTGTATATCTGCACCTGCTATCTGACTATGTCTGTGATA